GCATGTGGAACTTGGGCGAGGTGCGCGCCAATGCTAAGGGTGGCAAATTCTTGTGCCTGGAGCCGCTGTTTTGGCAGAGCGAAGCTTCGCTGGAAATCCCATGGGAGCCCAGGGCTTTCTCCGAGGGGCAGCGCCCCAGCGTGAGCTTTGCAACCGACGAGCGCGCGAGGCTCTTCTGGGAGCGGGCCGAGACCGATCTGGTCGAGCAGCTGGCGGCCGCGTCCGAGCGCGTCTTCGACGCAAAGCTCACGCCCGAGGCCGTGCGCCAGCGGCTGCTGCCCTCAGTGAGGCAATCGCGCGGCGATTGGACGCTGAAAGCCAAGCTGCCGGCCCACGCGCGCTTCTGGAACGCTGGCGGCACGTTTGCGGACCGCCCCGCTGAGCTGGCGCACTGCGCCGCGCGCGTTAGGCTGAGAGCGCGCAGCTTGTGGTTGATGAGCGGCATGTGCGGGTTGAGTCTTGAGGTCACAGATCTGCGCGTGGAGCCACCTTCTCGAGAGTGCCCGCTGTAGTTTCTTCCGATGCCGCAGCCTCTTTTTGCTCATTAAAAAAATTCAGAATGACCACCCACATCCTGGAGCGCCGCGAGCAGCTGAGGCCTCGCTGAGGGCCGTCGTCGATGCCGATGCGCTGAAGCGGGGAGCCTCTCTGGAGGAGGTGAGCCGCCTGCATGACGAGCTTACTCGGGTCTTAGATTCGCTAAATCCTTAGATGCGAGCTGTTCGGGCCAGAAAACCTGGATTTCAGCGCAAGCCAGCCTTTCACACAAATGGACCACGTGATCTGCCAATTTCGGCAGCCAAGCAGCGTTTCCACAAATCGACCACGTGGTTTTGAAAATTCGGCCACAAAACCGCTTTTTGCACATTCGGGCCATGCGATTTGGCAGGTTTTGCTTTGTGTGGCTAGCTTTGGACTTTTGAGGAGCTAGGCCCCAAAGCAAAAAATTGCACGGGCATTTTGCTAGGCTGAGGGAAAAAGCAAAGGGATCACGCGCGTTTCCTCCTAGGCGGCGTGTTCAAGGTAAAGGCATAGAGTCGTCAATCCAAGCCAGCCTTTTTTTCCAAGGCCGCGCGCCGAGATAAAAACTTTGTGGCTTGGCGCGTCGATTTTGAATTGTTACGCAGTCTTTGCAGAACTGACGGGCCGCGAAAAACACGGCCGACGAAAAACACGGCCAAGCGAGACAGCAGTCGACGAAAAGCACGGCCCAGCGGCAAGCAGCAAGCCTTTTTCGCTTCGCTCGCTGCAGTCGTTGCTCTCTGGACTCTGCAGCACGCAAGCGGCCGCCCCGCGGCTCCGCCCCACCTGCGTTACTCCTCTGCGGGGCTGCCCGCGTGTTTTGCTGTCGACTCGACACTGTCGACCCCTCAGCAGAACATCTGGGAAGCGCACTGCGGCAAAGCCCGCTGCAGCTGCAGCTGCGCCGCTTCCCCGTTAGTTTTTGGCCCGCTTCTTGCCGGCCGCTTTGGCCTTCTTGGCTGCGGCCGCTTTTTCTGCGGCGTTTTTTTTTCGCTTTCCGTCTCGCGTGTCTTCCGCTTCTGCCTGGGGCGGCTCTGCGGGGGTGGCTGGGTCCGCAATCTTTCGCTCTGGCTCTGATGTCGGCTCTGCGCTTGGGGGCTCCGGCTTTGCTGGCGCATCCTGCGAGGAAGCGGCGACCCCCGCTGTTGGCATGCTGCCGCTGCCGCCTCCTGTCTCACGGCCGGCCTCTTTCGCGGCTGCCGCCGCTGCGCTGTTGGCTTGGGGCGCTTCTGCTGCACTGACTGCTTCGCTGGCTGAGGCTGCTGTGCTCTGCGGCAGAGCGGCGTCTTCTGCGCCGGCTTTCGCGTTCGCCGCTCTGTCCGCAGTGCTTGGCGTGGCTGGACTGGCTGGCTGATTTGCTGCGTCCAACCGAGGCTGCGCAGACTGGCTTTCACTCTGGGGAACTTCTGCCTGCGGCACTTCCGCGCCTTTCTTTGCATCTGCAAGAGCGGCGTTTTTCGCCAGCCCTTGCGCCTGGCTGTCGCCGCCGCTTGGCTCTGCCTCGACCTCAACGCCGGCCTTTTGCTGGGACTCGGACTGGGCAGCAACTGTTGCCGCAGGGGGCTTTTCTTGCTCTTGAATCGCCTCTTTGATTGTGGCTAGCATGGGGGGGGGCAGCGACGTCACCACTGCCACAAGCTTCGTCAGCCGCTCGCTGAAGGCATGGCCGAGAACGCCAAGCCTCAGTCCCAGCACGTCGGTGGCGTGTGCTTTGTGCGTGACCACGCAGGCAGGGGGCAAAAACAGCAAATCCCCCTTGCCCACAGTGGCCACGCGGAGCTCCCCGCTGTTTGCTGCTTGCAGCACTTCCTGCTGTGTCCCTGCGGTCATCAACCTTTGGGCCGCCGCCATTTGGTCGGGCCTTTCGAACTTTTTCGGGGTCAGCACAGCGATCATCAACGAGCCCTCGCAAATCAGTCGCCAGCACGGCAGCATGGCGAGCTCTGTGCGGCCGGCGGACACCGAGCTTGCCGCAATGCCAAAGCAGCTTGGCCTCAGCGCCGAGGCCAAAGCCGCCAAAGCCTGGCCACCTCCGCCCTGTCCAGTTACTTGCGAGCGCCACTCAGTGGGCATGCCCGCTGCTGACCAGCTGCTGCACAAAGGCGTCTCCTCCGGCGCTCAAAGCAATCTGCGCGCGGCCCTCTGTTACCCGCAAGGCGCTGCTGGCAAACACCTTGCGAAATTCACCCACGCTGCGGCTAACAGCATCCTGTGCGGGTAGGAACCGCTAGGCGGAGGTACCCGCGGGGTCCGTCGTTGTCCCTAACCACACTCTTATCTGCAAGCCACAGCTTCCACTTCGCGTCTGCTTCCTCCTGGGTGAGATACCCGTGCGGGGCAAGCCGCGCCTCTTCCTTCCACTGCCCTTCCCACATCATGACCTTCTCGTTCTCGCGGCGGTCCCCGCTTTTGCTCTGGATGCTCTTTTTGAAGCTCATGAAGGCAAAGCGAATCTTCCCGTCCGCTGCAGCGGCCCGGCTCCGCTCTTTGCAGAAATTTCGCAGCATGTCCTTGTACGCCGCTGGGTCTTCTTGTTCCAGGGCCTTCATGTCCTCGGTCAACTCCTGCTTGGCTGCGTGGCGCCAGAAAGCTCTCAGGTGGCCGACGCACTCCTTGCACCTCTTCTGGTCTTTGCTGAAGTCCTCAAGCGGCCTCTTTTTTCCGCAGACGCTTGTGCACTTGACGGTTGGGGCCGGATCCTCGGGGTCGGGGTCCGGGTCGCCGGCGACACTTTCACCCGGCGTCTTGCTCACCTCACGGCCGCCAGCTTGGCTCCACTTTCTCCTTCCCCTCCGTGGCTGGCCTGAGTTGAGCCAGTTGAGCGTTTTGGGGGGGTCCGCGCCGCCACTGCGGCTGGTATTAGTCTCCGCTTCCAGCTCCAGCATGAGGCCCTCGCCCCCGTCCGACTGAAGGTGCAGGACGCGCAGGCTAGCAGACCCAGGCTCACACTCCACCGCGGCCTCCGCCATGGCGCCCACGCCGCGCGAGAAGCTTTACCTGACTGGCCTGCTATGGCATATAAGCTAGTAGCAACAAACCTGATAGGCGAGTTGTTGCGATGTCACAACACCTTGACAAAAGCTACGCAGCCCAGGACAGATTGCAAGACGGCTGCCTGAAGTTCCCCTACCTACTTGATTGTTGGCCGACTGATTGCTCTTTGGCGGTCAACGCCAAACAGCTCTAATCAAGATCAGGATGGTTGCGAGTTGCCTGCTAGGGGGGTCTCTAAAACGCAAAGGCACGGGTGGACAAGATTTGGGGGCCTTGTTCTTGGACGCGACCTTGCAGCGCTGCACTAGTATAGTGTGACATGACTTGACTGAGTAGCTACCTGCATCATTGGCAACGCTGGGGCTGGGGTGCGTGACAAAGGCACGCAGCAGAAACAAAAAGCGCTGTCAGCTGGCAGGGAAGAAAATGGGACCCGGACGCAGGCAGTTGCCAGAGACACAAGTTTGCACTTGGCACTTGGCAAAAGCGATCGCTGCAGCCAAAAGAGAGCAACTTTTGTTGTCTCAGGCCAGTCGCAGCTATCTACAGCCTACCAAACTGAGCGGGGCAGCCCGCAGCCCGCACCGCGCTGCAGCTGCGTGCTACAAGCCTGGCCCGCAGCATAAGAAAGGAGGCAGGCAGGGCTACACGCGGCCCGCAGCCGGCCTGGCCACGCTCTTGCGCCGCGCGCCTATAAGCCTCCCACCATAAGCTGGACCTCCGCCCGGCTCATTCGCTTGATTCGCGCGAACAAGTCAAGCCCTTGGTCCGGCGGCAAGTCCAAGACACAGTGGTGCGCCAGCGCGTGCGCCAGCTCCTTGCCCCACACCTCTGCGAGCAAGCCCGCTATCTCTCGCAGCAGCGCAGTCAAGTCTTGGCCCGCTTCAGAGTTCGCGGCAACGCCCGCAGGCAAGCAAACCGGCAGCTGCGTCCCCGCTGCCGCAGCCTTGCTGCTCGGGCACGCCGCTTGCGCCAGCGGCAGCGGCGCCAGCCATGGCGCTGGGCTGCGGGTCAGTCAGGAGTCAGGAGTCAGGAGTTCTGCGGCGGGCGGCGGGTTTGGGCGGTTTGGGAAGCGCTGGGGCCGGGGCAGCAAAAACTAACACACCTGTCATGGGCATGGGCGTCGCAGTGTCAATAAAAAATGTCAGACAAAAGCTTTGCAGGTTAGGTGGGGTGGTGATGTCACTTCGACCGCTTGCAAAGCCTCAACTTGCCGCTGGGTCGACGAGCTGAAAGAACAGCTTGGCTAGCACCTAATTGGCACCTAACTTTCGCATGGTAAGGATTCAGGATCTCACTGCAACGGCAACGCTGCGCCGCAAAGACATTGTCAGCCTTAGCCTTGTCACGGCGAGCACATAATTAAATAGCACTTTGCGGATTGAGATGAGATGCTGAAACAAAGAAAGCCCAGCCCAGTGAAACAACAAGTGCGAAGTGGATTTCTTGACCTGCCTGATCAAAGACCATCCCATGGGGCGGCTTCAGTGTGTCTCTTCAGCCCCCCAGCCAGCAAACACGCTGCGCGGCTGCTACTTTGCCCAGGGAAAAACATCAACATGGGAACAAGAGGTTGTGTAATACGTGACTAGAGCACCCATGACTCATGACCCCGCACCCAGAGTCCCAAACAGCTAGCGTGTTGTGCGCTGCGCAACTCCAAAACATCTGTCGCTCACACTTGACTTTGAGGGGGCCATACAATTGCCGCGCTGGCCAACGCTCTTTCCCGCGGGCCCGTGAATCTGCGCTGCGGCTGCTGACAGGCACCAAGGCCGCCAGAGCCGAGCCCTAGGAGCTACGAGCCGTCTCGGCGCCTCGCGCGTGCTGGCGGTGCCTCCCACACCCCTGCGGCGCTTTCCGCGGCGACCTCCCATTCCTCCCCTTGCTGCGGCACCTCCTCTGTCGCAGCCAGCGCAAAGGCGAACACCGCAGCCACAGCCTGCAAGTGCATGCCATTCCCGGCCAAGCTTTTGACGCGGCTCTCCCGCAGCCCTTCTAGAGCAAGCTGCGGCTTGTAAGGCCCGCTGCCGTACACGTTCCACCCCTGCACTTCAAGGTGCTCAGGCGGCAGCGCCAAGCGCCGCTTCCCAAAGAGCCACAGCTGAGTTCCCTGAAGCATGGCGGGCACATGGCCGCGGACTGGGCCCATGTAGCCTGGCCGCTGCGCCAAATTAGCTGTCCACTGCCGCTCTTCGTCCGCCGCCTCCTCGGCCTCGGTTTGGGGCCGGGGCCGGGGCTCGGGGGCAACGCCGCTGCTGCGGGCGTCAAGGCCGGCTTTGGCTTCCATCACCTGTCAGTGTCCTTGGATTTTGCGGCGCGTTGCTGCGCTCACCGCTTGGTAGCACGACCACGGCTGCCCGCTTCTGGTGGTTGCGGGCAAGTGGTTTTTCTCTGCGAGCAGCCTGATGTACTGCTGCACTTCTGCTTGGGGCGCCCGAAACTTCTCGTCAAGGGGCATGACAATGTTTCGGTGGAAGACATCCTCGAACACCCGCTGCAGCTTTCGCCGCTGCCCTTCCTTCTGGAGCAGGGACGGGATCCACCGCCGCGCGCTCTTGCGCAGCATGACTATGTAAAGCCTCCGCCGCTCCACGGGCTCACCAAAAAGCGTTGGCGAAAGAAAGAAGGTCTCTATAGCGAACTTCTCTGCGGTCATGTCCGCCAGCGTGCGGACATCAAACTGCGGGGTTCTCCGCCAGGACGATGTCTTCGTCAAACTGAAGCCTCTCTGCAAGCCACTGCACAAATGGCAAGGTGCTGCGCCCAAACCAGCCCCTGCGGCCTCCCATCATTGACCAGTCGTAGCAGTTGAACCCAGCCACGTGCATTCTTGTCTTCATCGCAGCAGCGCCGCCCGCGTCCTCTGCGGGAACTCCCGCTGCCTTCTGGCCTGCGGCATCGCCCGCTGCAGCTGCAGCCGCTTGTCTGCAGGGCTGACTCCCAGCAGGGCTTGCGCCTGGAGCGCAGCTGGCTTCGAGAGTTGCGCCTGCTGCAACCCAGGGTGGGCTGACGCGGCACTTCTTGCGATGTCTGTAACAAAAACTCTCAGCAGCGCGCAGGTCTTGACGCATCACTTGTCGCAAGCACTCCTGAGCAAACGCCGCAGGGTCCAGCTCTGCTTTGAGCACCTCTGACTTTTTGATGCGGCCCAGCTGATGCTCGATGTCTTGCCAAAGCTTTGCGTTGCACCGCTCTCCTATGTCGCCACGCACGCACCCGGGCGCGCCCAAGCCTCCCCTAGACGAGGAGTCCAGCAAAACTGCGCGGCAGTCCGCTTCCACATCTCCGGCCCGCTGCACGCACAGGCGCGGCTTTGCTCCGTGAAGAAGCGGCGGCGCGGGCTGGAGCGACTGGAGCGCTACGGCTAAGCAGCGGGCAGCTTCCTCCGCGGTGCCGAGTCCGCTGTAATCGCTCGTGAGATGAACGCCTCCTGCCATAGCCTTTTCAAAGTTGCCCAGCAGGCCTGCCCGCTCCAAACTCTCCAAGAGCAGGTCTGGCCACATGTCGCTTTCGGACATGCTTCGCGGGCCATCCGCTGCAGCTAGCTTCGGCGGCAGGCTCGCCGCCTCCTTGCAAGCAAAGGTGTCAAGAGACGGCAAGGTGACGTCCCGTGGGACGCTATGCACCGAACCCTCAAGCTGTAATACCAACCACGTAGAAAGGTGTATACGGACGATGCCGTTATAGCCGAACCCGTGTAAACGTTGTAAGGGAGAAGGAATGATAGTTACAACAGTGGTCCTGACAAATGCAGCGCAAGCGAAGTGTTTTCGCTCTCAATGCCGATCACGTATGTATGCAGTCACACATCAGATCTTGAACCTCAATTGTGTCTTGAGCCAAAATGGCGATCAATGGAACTTGGGAAGCAACACCAACAAGGACCTCAGAACAGCTACCCAATTTCGGCACGGGGCCTAGAGGGTTTTAACATCCCCCATTTGGGTCGCATTGTTCATCATGCGGTCCAAACACCACAAAACGTTCCACTGGCCACGGCTTCAACTACGAAATCGTGTCGTGCATTCTTTTACTTGCTATCACTACACCGTTCATTCGCTGTGAAACATGCCGGGTTCGATTGTACGAAAAGTGAAACATTCATCCTCCAATCGAAGCACACATCCATATGCAGGTGTATATAATACACAATCGTCACGTCATTTGACCACCAACGAACAATCCAGCTGCCGCATTTGCGCATCGCGCAGCTGTCATCCATAAATGGGTTGGCCGCAAAAGTCCACCAGAGGCGCCCGCTTGTAATCGGTCTGCATATTTCCGGCAAAGAAACATCGGTGAGTAATCAATGCAAATCATAGCCATTCCAGATACCATGGACAATGCATAAATAATGAAAAGATATCATCTATAAGGTAATAGTTCCATCCATGAATATCCAGAGCGTCATAGTCATCGGAATATGTAACCATGTACACACCCAATCATCTTGGACACATGAATATAAATCATGACATAAGTCGTTCCACCGAAACAGTGTCGATGTGACGCAAGTAACAGATGGGGACTGACCCACATCGTACCGCAATCAGCATCTTCACGAAGCATACCTGTCCCCAATGGACAGCCTATGGGTACGTCGGCGGAACTCCTCGTCCAAGTTCTTCTGGGCTTCTCGTGCCCGGACACACTTCTTGTTGTAGTCCTCTGGCAACCAGTGCCCTTTCCGAAGGCACCAATCCAGCAGGGGTGTGTCGCATTTGTTCGGGTCGATGGCCGAGATGATGGCGCTCACGTTGACCGTGTAACCATTCTTGCCAAGGTTTAGGCCATCCCTCACGAATGATATATACTTACAGTTGAAAGCTAGTGCAAAGCATCTGAAAATAATATCACCCACCGGGTGCACTCGGTCCTTGACCAGGAGCTTCATTTCTTCCTTGGTGACATCGAGGATTCTCGCTGCAATCCACAGCTTGTAGAATGTGTAAAGTCCCTCGCATTTGCACACCATCATACGAATATAATCTTCACGCTCCTCAACCGATCGGAAGGATCTCGACCGAACATTCTCCGACTGAGAAATTTTCTTCGCTGTTGATGGTAAGAGTATACCTTCCTGATCCTGATCGGTGATGTTGGGGTACCTCTTGAAGTCATTGTGATAAGGGCAGCCCGGCCTCCCTTCGAGTCCGGCATTCATCGTTCTCTCCTCACCACCTTCAAACATCCCCCACATCTTGGACAGCTGGAGTGCGATAAATCCTGCCATGTACTGAGCCTCACGCGGCTCGTCAAGGCAGATCGCCATCCGTTGGGAACTTATAATGTCCCGTGACGCCAGATCGGTGTCGCGGTAATGCCAACCGCTGTCTTCTTCTTCTGACGCATAGCCGGATGTATATCCTTGCGTGTCCATGTCGTCATCTTCTCCCGGAACTTCCTCCGCTTCGTCTTCATCCTCCTGTGCTGCCGCATCGTGGTTAGCTTCTTCCTGTGCACGCCTGGCATCTCCAGAGACGTTGGGGTTTTGGTTGTCCTCCTCGTCATCGGATTTGATGTGAATGTAGTATCTTCCGATGGAGATCAGTTGTGCCTCGCACTCCAGGCATAAGCAGAAGCAGGTGGGGATCGCGGTCGCACATGATGGACATATCCGGCACCTCAGTCCTTCCCATGTCTCATCATTCAGGATGACGACTTTGCTGATTTCGTCCCGGACCTCGTTGACCTGTGCATTGAACTCCTCCATCTTGTTGATTCGATAGAGTTCGCAGGCACGATTAACCATGTCAACGATGTAGTGCAGATTATCGGCACCTGTCTCAGTCTCCGGCATCCTCTCGCTGATCTTTGTGACGTTCTGGAGGAACATCGCTGCCGACTCTTGGGATGAGTTGACAAAGCCAGGGCAGATCTCGTTCTCCACACACTTCGAGTACGCCCTCTTGATGTCAGCGTACTCCAGGCGCTTCCCTCCGTTGCTTTTGCCAATCCAAATGGACTTGACCTCATAGAACGGGATCACGTCAAAG